GGAGAGGGGGTAGGGGAGGGGAGGGGAGGGGAGCAGCGGTGTGCAAAATTCCGACTCCTCAGGCGAGCGCTCCCATCATCGGGTTCATGGCTGCGCTTTCTCCCCCAGAACCTCAGTGCTGGAGCGGCGACGGTGTGCCAAGATTTTTTGGGGGCGCCCTCGACAGCAGCCGAGGGCCGGGCGAGGGCAGAAACCTCCAAACCGCAGCCCACAGCCCTAATGGCTGTGGCCTACCGTTCCGCCCTGAGCCAGCAATGGAACCGGCCGAAGCGTTGCAAATCAGAAGGGCCTTGGCCTGGCAAAGAACCTGCCTTTTCAAACAAGGCCTGATGTCTTGGGCAAAGCCAAAAGAATCTGCAAACTCCTGCAACATGGAAAACTGTCCTGCACTTTCATGACTGCTTGCACAGCTGCACTGGCGTGACCTTTTCCGATGGTTGGCTGTCCAAATCGAACAGATTAAAAGACTGGCACCCAGTCCAACGAATTAGATGTTGAATCCTGCATCCGATTCCCCCAGGACGGAAGACACTTAGCATTTCAAGCCTGTGATCCTCTCTTCGCGGCCCGGCATCTCCCTATCCAACCTGGCACGCAAGTACAAATGTCCTTCCCGGCATCTCTCCAACCCTGATACAAGATTGACGTCCAGCTGGGTCCTCAGGGATGTATCGAATTCTGAATTGATCGAATCACGGCTTTGCGAGGGCGCCGAAGGCCGTTGCCACAGCCTCAGCGAGCAGCGATGCAGCTCGCATCGAGCATTCCGACAGAAGAGGCCAAAAAAACAACAGCGAAACAAGGGGGGGAAAAAACATCGCAAGTATGGCAAGTATAGCTTTGGAAAACAAATGTCCCCTGCCTTTGGTGACATGAAGCCCAAAACAAACAAACAAACAAACAAACAAGCAAGCAAGCAAGCAAACAAACAAACAAACAAACAAACAAAACATGATGCATATCTTCCCCAAATACGCCGCAGGGACCTGCACGAACCATTCCAGACACACCCATTTCCGCTGGGGCTGGTGCCGCCATGTGCGCGCGGAGGCTCGCCAGCTCAGCCTACGGTGCAAGGATTGGCGTGCCCCAAAGGAGTGCAAACCAAACATACTGTGCAAACCAAAAGAACCCCCTAGTTCACCTAATTTGAATGGGGGTTGAGAATTGTAGGTTCACTTGCAAAGCTTGGCGTCCACCATACTGTGGATGGACAAAATCCATTTCGCACCAGTTGGAAACCATGAGAAACCACTGTTCGTTGGCATTTACAGGATCATCCCTCCAGGGCCTCTTAGGTGCAGGATTTCGTCCATCCACATTAGGAACCTGGCAAACACTCAACCAAACAAACAGCATGGCACCTCAAAGAAGGCATTCACAACCACCTGCTTTACAAGCATTGGGATCCTCAGCGGGTACATGTGTCAGAATCAGAGCCTCCAGGGGGCATCCAAAACCACACCCTCCGAACAGGATCCAATTCGCGACTCTATTTATCCAACTGTTGCAGCGTTCAGCGTACAACAAATCCTTGGGTTTTTGCTTTTTAAAGGGAACCGCCCACCCACCCACCCACCCACCCAAAAAAAAAAACGGCCAGTCCCCTCAGGAACCACACCCTCCACCTTGACCGTGACTCTCGTTGGCCGGCCTGGAGGGCTTTGATGACCGCCTCCTGCCGCTCCATGCGCCCCTCCATCTGCGCCAAACGCTCGCCTCAGCTCGCGACGAGGCCCAGCCCCGCGTGCCCGGAGACGCGCAAGAAGGCCGAGGGAGATGTGGGCCCACCCGGCCGGATGGGAGGGAGGGTTTTTCATGCCGAAATTCGAGACTCGTGTCCACATGCGAGGTGTGGGTTCCAACTCTGGGTGCAAAAAATCGCAGATCCGGCGAATTAGGATCAAGCTGAACTCTTGCTCAAGAGCAATCTGCATGTCGTGGCCACACTATAAGATATCTGTGATAGTGGATTCAGCTTCACACTCTCTCTATCAAGTTCGTGATGTTCGTAACTTAGGGCTGAGCCTACCTGCCGAGTTCCCTTCAGTCCAAGCGGCCCGAGGCGCAGGCGCACGCGCCGGGCGCGCCGGAGCCGTCCGGCGCGCTGGGGCCACGCTGCACGCGGCTCACCTCTCGCAGCTCCGGCTCGGACCGCTCCACTGGTGCCTCGGCTTCGCTCACCTCGGGCCGAGTTCGGGCGCCACGGGCCACGTGGATTCGGGTGCCACATCCTTGTTTTTTTAGATTTGGAAATCAATGTTGCCGTGTTAGGAAACTCCTCTAAACAAAGACACACCCATTTAGAGATCTGTTCTGCACCGTTTCCATCGGCTTTGGAGATTACACCGCGGTTGATCATTTCGGCTCCCCCTTCAAGAGTCATGGAAAACCGCCGCCTGGAAGGTTGCTGGAGGCTTCAAGATTACATGCCACCCCCTTTTCAACAATTCTAGAAGCTGACAGGAGGGTTTTGGCGTCTCCACGTCCATGGCTGGAAGACGGCTAGGCCATCCAGAAGGGACATTTTTTGTGAGCCAGAGCTACACTGAAGGATGGCTATAGATGCTGTAAGCGCGCCCGCCCGTTCCCCGAAACAAGCTCGTGTCGTGATGCCCACCCCTAGCCTTCTAGCCTTGGCCCCTCGGCCCCTCGTCACCTGCCCAGTGGCAAACAGTTGCATACCTTGAAACACCAGCGGCACGTAGGCGACACACGCAGGCTCCTGGCGAGCGTTTTGTTTTCTCTGTCTCTGTCTCTCTCTCTCTCTCTCTCTCTCTCTCCCTCCCTCCCTCCCTCCCTCCCTCCCTCCCTCCTCCCTCCCTCCCTCCCTCCCTCCCTCCCTCACTCTCTCTCCCCCTCCCTGTGACAGAATCGCAAAAGACCAAAAAAAAAAGTAGAGGCCCACAAGTTGAGAAGCAGGCTCATGTTGCTCGCGACTCGCGAGCGGCTGCCATGACAAGCGTTTAGCTCTTCAAATCCTAACCTGCATTCCGTAGCGGCCGTAGCGGGACTCTACTTCAGACAACTCAAATAACTATCATCAGAATCAAGCAGTGCATTGTTTAATTATAATAATAATAATGATAATAATAATAATACTAATATAATAATAATAACAATAATAATAAACAACATTAGAATCAAGCATTGCAAAACACACAAAAAACTCCAACCTTGGATGCCAGTACGCCATCAAAAAATCATGCGTTTGTGACATGTTTCTCTCGTTCGCCCGGACCTCCGCTCATAGTCTGTTCTTGCTGGAACCCGCAACAAGGTCCTCCCTTTCAGTCTTTCACAAAGAAAAGGGAGAAGAAAAAAACAGAAGAAAACAGAAGAAGAAAAGAGAGAGAGAGAGAGAGAGAGAAACAATAAAAAGTGTTTCAGATTTCATGCAACAGTTTTTTCGGGGAGCATCCTCTGCCCGCGGCTCCTGTAAGTCAAACTGCAAAAAGTCGCCGTACCGGGCAGTTGCCCAAAGCTCCTGGGACGGAGCGGACGAAGCGATGCCATCGGATTCCGAATCCCCTCCCCGACTTAAGACCGCCAGAAGGTTCCAGCTTTTCACCAAGGCGCCAACTGGCTTTAAAGGCGAAACAAACATTCGGCTTGGGCCCCCCAAAAAAAAGACGCACGCTTAAACCAAGGCACTGTGCCATGGGGCAAGCTGGCCAAGAACTGGCTCTGCAGCGACGGGGCGGATCTCACCGCCACGGTCGCGTTGCTGGGGAAGGACTCGGAGCACGCGAAGCGCCGCTTGGGTCGGAAGGTCTCGTCCGCCTGAGCCTTCGGCTCCTCATGCGGCTGCGGGTCGGGGACGTCCCGCGGATGGAGGAAAACATCCATGGCCGCCTTAAACAGGACGCTGCCCACTGCACGGGCCTGCGCTTTGGCCCCACCCTTGGACTGCAGGGCGCGGCGCAGGGGCTGGGCCCCTGGGCTGCTGGAATGGTCCACGCTCCGCTGCAGCGTGTCGAGCCGACCCGCGCTCAGACAGGTGTGGTAGTTCGCCCCTGCGGCAATCACCTCGTGCAACAGGTTCGGGTCGAGGAGCGACAGCATAGGATCTGACCTGGCCGCAGCAGTTCCGTGCCCCTCCGCCCACCAGCACTGGAACCGCTGAATCTGGCCCTCCTGCTCCAAAACTGCCTCCGTCGACGCAGCCGCCGTCTCCACCTCGTGCTGCACCAACTCGGCCGCCACTGGCGGTGCTGCCTCCGTGGCGGCCGCTGGCGCCGGTGCCGCTGCGGCTGATGCCGGTGGTGCCGCTGGCGCCATCTCTTCCGCAGCCTGGCTTGGAGCCGCCGCTTTTGGCTCCTCTCGTGCGTCCCCCGCCTTCTCCACAAAGAGCACGAGGTCTCCCAAGACTCGAAGAACCCAGCCGTGCGGTTGCCCGTCACGCTTGATTTGCAGGTACGCCCCCTGCCGCGCGACCGCCAACACCTCCGCGCCACGGGTCACCGTCGTCAGGAGCTCACTCTCCTGCCGCGGCTCACGCCTCACGGCGATGGACGCATCCTCTGGCCCGGTGCATTGGAACAGCACTGCCGGCTCCAGCGCTTCAACTTCCGCCTCTGGGCAAAATATCTTCAAACAACCAGCCCTCCCCTGACAGGAGGTTCTTTGCATGGTAGAGGCCCATAAACTAAACGTGTCAAAACCAAGGTGTTGGCCGAACCCCTCTGCACCTCCTGCACCTCCTTCACCTCCTTCACCTCCTCGGCCCTTGGCTGCGGCTCTTGGACCTTTCCCGACTCGCCCCCTCCCTCCGCATGGAAGATGGACTCCGCCGCGCTGAAGAGCAGAGAGCCGACCTGGGCGGCGCTTCGGCTCCAGCAGAGGCCTCCATCAATGTGTTGGGGACATGACCATATTCCCCCCCCCCACACAAAAAAGAAAAAGAAAAATGGCTTCTGAATTTCCCCCCCCCCCCCACAAAAAAAAGAAAACAAAGAAGACATGGGCTTCTGAGTTTTAATGGGGAACGCCTTGGTGGACATCATTTCATTTGGGAACCGGAAAGCCATGTCACCATGTCATGACAAACCACGCCCGATGCCACCTCCCTATGAAGACTCGTGCGTTTGAAAGGCAAACATGCCAGGGATCCGGAGGCACCATCCATCAATCAGACCCTGTTGGCACCACAGCCGCTAGAGTGGCACTCAGCTACTCAGCTGGGGCTCCTGGCAGTTCTGGTGTGAATCATCACTCCACATACCCCGCCCAAAACAAGGCTTCGCCTTTGCTCTGACACCACAAAACAGTCTTTTTCCCTACTGCTTACGTACATGTAAAATCATACAGACATCCATACCTTATTTCAATACACAAGCCGGTGCATCGATCTCGCAACCCAAACCGCCAGCGCCCGGGCTCCCGGGGGCTCTGCAGCCGCGCCACGGCGCGCGCCTGGTTCTTGGCGCCGCCTTTCGTCTGCATGGCCTTCCTCAAGGAGTCCAAGCTGGCGTCATGGGCGGCCTGGAGAAAGGGCGCGTCTGAACAGAAGGTCCCCCGAAAATATTTTTTAGCCCGCCCAAAAAAAGTGGCCGTATGAATCGTAATTAGGGACCCGACATGGCGGACATCGGAATGTAGTGGGGGTTGCGGATTCATAAATCCTGGTTGATTTTGACTGCGGTGTCATGATCCGGATTCCCATCAAAGGGGACCCCGATACAACAAGAAGGGGGAGCAAAAATCCGCGGGTCAACATTACATTGACCCAAATCATTAAATCTGAGTTACACTTATTGGGGGATGCCCTTCTTATATGGTCCGTGGTCACCATACGATGGTCATTAACAAAATGTAATAATTTGCAGATGCTGTGTCAGATTTAGCCAACCCCCACAACACAAAATAGTTTTGGAGGATACCAAAACACAACACATTTCCCCTTAAGACATGTCACCCGCGAGACTCGCCTGGAACAGGGTGACGTTCCCAGGCCGAAGCCCTTTCGAAGCCCTGCCTTGTCCAGGGTGTTCAGCAAGCTGTCCAACCTCTCGATGCCTGAGGCCAGAAACAGCGGCACGCTGCGGTGGGTCCGAGGAGGTGGTCAATCCATTTCGCACCACCGTCCAGAACCCTGGAATGAGTCGATTCCCCTGTAAATACCAACGAACACGGGGTGTCCCATAGTTTCCAACTGGTGCAGCATTTTGTCCATCCACAGTATCAAACAGACCAAGCAACACACCTCAAGTGTTCAAGGAGGTCGCTGCGACTTTATGTTCCCTGGATTCGCTGACGTGCGTTGCTACTTGCAGCTGGTGGGTCTCATGAGTTTAAGACAATCCGCTTTGCGTGCGACGCCACTTGTGAAACCAACAATTCCTTCAATGCTCGGCAAGAATCATTAAAAGTGGCAACACACGTGTCCTCGTTTGGCTGGGGTCAAAAACATGCACCAAAATGGCATGGCAAATGGAACCAAAGACCAAAACTGGGGTTACGCGGTTTAATTTTGAGCCACACCTATTTCTGCATTCATGCACGTGGAGGCGTTTTTGCTGTCCGAAAGCCACCCACTCAAAGGCTACAAGGAGAACTGTCGGGAAGTTTTGGGCCGGGACGGGAATGGCATAGGGGGACTTCTGGAAAAAAATTGATGGCCCTGGTAAATGGAATGAACCCCATGTAAACCAGGGCCCTCTATTTTTGAGCAAAGCCAACCGAAAAGGACACCTATGAATCCAGGTGGCACCCCGCCATTTGGCCGAAAAAACCACCGCGAGACATGCAACCCCCCCAAAACCCTGCAAGCGATTGGGGCGCGGCGCCAATGCAGTTGTGATAAGCAGCTCCGGCCGCGACGATCTCCTGGGTGCCGGGGAAAAAATCTAAGACGGATGCTGCCGAGGTGTTGAAAACATGCGGGTTCGAAAGAAGACTCCCCGGAAAAGTGACGTGGAATCCTCCAACTCTGCCGGTGCGGACGTTTCCCAAATGCTGGCTTTCAAGGTTGTAAGCAACCCAAGGTGTCACTCTGTAGACTGCCCATTCGACGCATAAAAAGAGGACTCAACGAAGTGTGTCTTTGATTGGAACACCTTCTTCGGTTTGGAAGAAGCAAAAGCCCAAGCCACAATACTCAGCCTACAATGTCCCGAAACCCTAAGGGCTTGAACACCTGAAGCCAAAAACCATCAGACCCCAAAACCCTGATTCCTACATTTGAAAAATGTGTTTGTTTCTTTTTGGCTGGCAATACCATGCTCGTTTTTGCCCCCTGGCAGCCGCCTCAAACTGGGACCCCCAAACGATGCGTCAGCCTCTCCAAAAGCGCCGCCAGCTAGGAATGGGAGGAACTCCATGGGCGGCGTCACTTTGATTTCCCCAGCCTCACCCAGCCCCGCTTTTTTGGTTTTCCTGGCATCAACCACTGGAGAAGAAAACAAAAACACCTCCCCAGCCAAAAAGACAGAAGCTACAAAAATGTGACGCCCTGGCATTTGTTTGCTTTCGAGCTGCCGCAAGCATCGCTGCATCCACCTGAGCCGGGTTGCTCCAACCGCCAAGTTGCGCCAAGCCGGGTGTTCGCCTGTTGACCCCTGATTCACCGATTCACCGCTTGCTGCATTTCTCTCAGCAGGGAATGAGGGAATGGTGTTTTTGTTTTTTTCTTTTTCCCGCAAGGCTTTTTCAGCTGCATGAGTCGATTCCCCCCCAGAACCCTTCCGGGTTTTCACCATTGAGTCAAAGAGGGAAGCCATTCCCAAAACCTCGGGGCCATTGCCTACTGAGCACCAGCAAGGCTAACCAGGGTCGCCCCCAAATCAAGCAGGGGCATCCTGGAAACAAATAATTTGCGGGAACTCCACTACAAAAGGGACCCCCCTCACAATGATTGCGGCTGGTTTTAGATGAAATAGGACACTATAAGCAAGCCTCCCTTCAGAACCCAAGGCAGGATCGTGCGGAGAGCGTTCGGATGGCTTTCGAAGAGCCCAGAACAATGATGTCTGAATTCGAAGCGGAAGGATCCAGAGATGAAACGCGATTCCTGCTGTCCCTCGGGAATCTGGCGCAAAGCTGGGCCGGGTGCTTAAGACAGCGCTGACCCTTGATGCTTCCAGGAGCCCTGACTAATAACTTGGGCTATGTATTTTTCACCCAAATTACCCCCACAAGCCCCAGTACCCGCCGTCTCCAGGCAAGATGCCACACGCAGAAGAGGGTGCGCTGCAGCTGCAGTGGTGCCCTTGCCAGCCGCCCACCAGGCTTGGAATCTCTGAATCACCTGATTGCTTTGGAGGTTGCGCGGTTGCATCTTCCCAGCAATAACAAGAGACCGAAATCGCAAATTCCGAGCTTGCACTTGCACGAATTGAAAGAGGCGGTTTTCAGTCGAAAGCTAAGCAACGAGTTGACAAATAAATGCTGAAGCAACCTGGAAGCCTTCTGGGAGTTTCTCAAAATAGGTGTGCTTTGCTTTCCCCTTAGTGTTGACCCCTTGTCAATCAACCCGTTGATTTTTAGGGGGGTGTTTTCTCCAAAAGGGATGATATTCTACGGGACCGCCCGTACGAATAAACTGGGGGCGATTCATACTGTTGGATGAGAAACCATTGTTTATTGGTATTTACAGGGGAATCATCCTACTTCCAGGGTTTCTTAAGTGGTGCGAAATGGATTTCGTCCATCCACAGCATGGGGTAAGACATCCCCCTCCAAAAGGGGGGCCTTTCCATTCGATAAACCTCCCCGGTCCTGAGCTGGATGACACGCCCCGCTTGCAAGTGCCCACCTCACCAGTGCCTGTTTCTTGGAATCCGAAACCCTAAGTAAAACTGCCTGGAAGAGAAAAAAATGCTCCCCCAAAATACTGAGGACCCAAGAAGCAATAACAAAACAATAGTAATCATAATAATCATAGTAATGAAGACTGGGCCAAGCAGCATCCTGCTTGGCTTCGATGACCGCAACGGACCTGTCAGGACATCACTCCCGTCGCCCTCTCGGTGTTCGCGGGCCCGAGGCGCCGGCCAATTCTTCTTCAGCGGCGCCTGCGGAAGAACAAGGCGACTGAAAAACATAAATCCAAACTTGGTTGCTGGAAGGACCCCTATGCAAAACTTTAAATAAATAAACATCAAAAACAAACATTAAAAAAAAACTTAGGGGGGGTTTAGTGGCAAAAAGTGAATCCAAACCAAAAGGAAACCCACCCGTTTTTTTCTCCGGGGACAGTGTTTTGGACACGCCCGGCTCAGCCTGTCCTCAAGACATTGACACATTTCATCAGCCTGATCTTGGTTGCTGCAAGGACCCCCCTGCAAAAAGTGAATTTAATTTTCTGGGGGTTTAGTGGAGACCACCTTATTTCAACCAAGAAGTTAAAGTCTAAAGATCCAACCCAATAGCAGTCAAGGAAAACCACCCGTACCCGGGATCCCCAAATTTATCTTTTAAATAACATATATCGGAAATCTGTTTCCATCTTGGGCTCAAAAGTGATTGGTTTCCCAATACTAAAGCAACGCTGCATGCTTCAAACCAGGTGGTCACATCATTGTTCAGCCAACCTTGATGAAACAAACAGCGCTTCGTCAGACCGTGGTCTCGTTTTCGCGCGGCCTCTTGAGAAGCTGTCCTTGCCAAATCGCCAACTCTAATCTGCGACGTAGCTACGGCCTCATTGTCATTTGCGTTCGTCGCGACTTGTTGTTGACAAGGCCTGCAATGCGGCACTGGCAGGAAAACTCTTGAGAATGTCACATGCACAAAAGACAGGCCCCGGCTACATCCGTAAATCAATACATGTTCTCTGTATGGGCTAAATGTTAAAAGCCGTCGAATTTGCGGAAGATGCTGCTCTTCCAACATGCTGCCAACTTAGTCTCGCGCGGCGCATTTTCCTTTCCGACCTGACAGCACTTGCTTTTGGCCCTTCCCATGCCCAGGCTTTGAGGCGCTGACACAAGGCGCCATGCCAAACGTGTCGAATCTGACAATGGGTTTGCTAAGGCAAGTTCTTCTCCCTTTGTTGTCCTTGACACAAGCTCTGCTGTCAGCTAACCGCTACCTCTTGGATGCGTCCGACTCAGCTGCATGTTCTCCGCATCTGCACTTCGCGCCCCCACAACTGCGAATGAAACAGGCGCACGAGCCATCCGCCAAAACATGGGCTCAGGCCGGGCCAGCTAACAAGTTCACACCGAAATGTCCAAAAACCAGCGTCCAAGCAGTTTCCTAGCAGCTTCCTGCAGCTTGCTGTCTATCTCCCACAAAACTACATCACTTGCATTGCACTCTGCTTTCAAAGGGCAGACACCATGCACCTTGATGATGTGGCGGTGTTTCTCCCACACTCCTTTTTCCAGCAGTCCAGCCAAACCCCCTCCCCCCCCCTGTGTTTGCTGTTGCCCCGCAGTTGGCCTATTCACACGCTTCACTGACGAGACACTGAATTCATCGAACGACGGAACAGAGATGATTGACAAGAGAGGACCTCTCCTCAAGAGCAGACTCATGGGAGCTGCTTGCATGTGTCGTCCGTTATTAAAATTGTTAACTTTTGTGTCATGAGTTCCATGACTCTTGGATACCGACATTGCTTGTTGTTTGCCAATTTGTTCATCATTCTGCTGTTTGTTAACATCCGACTGCTTCGAGGAATTCCACTTGACGATTGTGTGTCGACCTGTACAAGGAAGTTCTCGACAACGAATTCCTTCAAGATCCCACCGAAGGAACCAACATGTACCTGTACAGATTCCGCAATTTCTTCAATCATCGACGACAAAACACGGAGTTCCTCATTTTCACATCCAAATTTAAAAGACTTCTCGAAACAAGGCAGCCTGGATGAGTCACCAACGAGGTGGCTTCAACCTTTCAGAAGGGCGGATTTGGTGGGAAGGCCAGTATGGCCAACGAAACTATGATCCGTATCATCCTGCGACACTTGAGGGTGAAGCCGCTTGACAATGAAGTGGACCTTCTCAAGGACATCTTCGAGCCATTCACCAACCAGCAATTTGACATTCTCCGCGTCGATCCTTTCTGACAAGATCCAAATGACTGGCAATGTCAGAACATGTGGATCGGTTGCAAGAAATTGAGACAGCTGTGTCTCTCATCTACTCAGTATGATGCATTGCACCGCATACGTTCACACCGTTGGCATCAATATGCCACGCGGATGCGCAAATTGCCACGATGCCCATCAAGGTAGATCCAGTCGATCTGAGAAAACTTTGCCGTCAGCATGGGAAGCCAGCCTGCGCCTTGCCGCCATGTTGGGGCCCGTGATCATCAATCCGTCAGGACGCCGCAAAACATTTTGCAGATTGACGTCATCCGGCAAGTGGAGAGTCGGGAGCACATCGCTGTTCACGTTGTCGACCAGAACTAGCTTTTGTTGTTTTATGCATTTGCTGTTTTGGGAAACGTGGATCCCCGAGCAGTGGACCCCTGGCCCGGAATTCCCCGATCAGGATGTGGAGCTCTATGGGTGGTTGTCTGCCATCCCACACCTCCGATCAACCTGCCTGGTCATCCCATGCCACCAGTCGATCCGCCTTCGGGGACCCGTGGGTAAACGATAATATGTCATTTTTAAATCAACTCAATCGGCTGGAGGGCGAGGCCTCAACCAACTCTTCCGACTGTCCACCTCCGGCAACTTTGATCCATGCAGCAAATGAAGACAGCGATGAAGAGCTGGAACTGCCGCATCTTGAGCAAGAAGAATCGACTCCACCATTGCAGAACAGGCCACCTAAGAAGCAGAAAACTGGGAAGAAGAGGAAGCCAGATGATGAATCGCCTGAGTCTTCACCCCCGAACGTCCAGTCAATTTACCGATGCAATCCAATAGTGAGGATGAACTCATCCCTCACGTCCCAACTCACAGAGAACCATGACAATGCTGACTAAGAAGATGGAGAATCAGAAGGCTTTCAGAAGACAATAGCATACGATGGACCTTCTCTATGAAGCACAATGGTCATGACAACCGATCACAAGATCTGTGCGGGATCCTTTACGGTTCCGATCCTGCTGGGACAAGTAAAAGAAACCTTCAAACCGACTTCTCAATGTGGTTCTCTCAGCAGAAATACACAGACAAGAATCATGTTGATCAGTTGTGCAAGAACATGACAGACGATGACTGAGCACTTCTAGCAAGAATCCTCCTGAAATGCGATATCTCCACACATTGGTGCACGCGTGAAGAAGCCTGCCTACGGGCTCAATGATGCACCCCACAGATGGTGGAACATCCTAGATTCGGCCTTACGGACGAGCGCCAACCGAGATCGATGTACTGCGGTAAACACTTTCCGAAACCGACACCGATCAGTGAAAAGAAACCATCCAAGCAGTTGATTGCCTCATGGATCCTGTGTCAGGTAACAATGCCCAGAATCGACAAGTTCATGGAGCACTTTCTCTTCATGTAGATGATCTTCTTCTGACCGGTGATGATGTGTTTGAAAAGGAAATCATGGGACGGTTTCGGAAGGACTTTCAATTCGGTTCTCAAGACAAGAATGATTGCCTGTCCAATGGAAGCATGGCGACAAGCAGGGTTGGTTCATCTGCATCCATCAGAATGTTGCCATTGACGAACTTCAGGAGATCACCTTTGACAAGAACTTGAAAGATGACACTCCACTCACATCTCAGACGCATGCTGCGCACAGGAGCGTCCTAGGTCAGATCAACTAACATTGGTTAAGAATTTTCAGGCGCGCATCCATTGCAGACGTTCGCGCTCAGAACCATCAAACGCATTGCGCGTAGCATGAGATTCTGGCCCCATGGCAAGACAGGTGCAGTGGGTTATCCAGATGCATCCTATCACAACAATGAAGACAAGTCACCCCGACGCGCGTGTCTTATCATTCTTGCAGAAGAACGAGATCTTCGCAAGGGCTCATCGAACTCGAGAGGCTCACTGATCGATTATGAGACGCATAAGCTCACTGCTACAATGGATGCGTTGTTGCGGTCAATCACTTTTCCTTCGCGGTCTCTGGTCAGACATTACAGGTAAAATTGCAGATGCTCACATCCGTACAGATGCAAACAACCTTGTTGCAACTGCCTCGACAACTCATCAGCCTGAACAGAAAGAAACAATGCATTTGATACAAAGGTTGCAGAGGGAAAGCAAGAGCCGGACAGATGCATGACCTTGCACATGCAACGAAGTGAAACCAAACACTCTCAACGCCGTCCTGACGGGCAACCTCATGAATGTTGACGCGCATCCACCATTCCGTACCATGTTGCAGGACAAGCAATTCTTAGTTGAATGGCTGGCTCACAAAACAACTCACGGACAGACATCATTGCATTCGCAGGAGTCGAGATTGCAGACTTCCCCAATAAGCAATTAACTTGGGCGTGACTGGATCGTGAAGAAGAAGAGACCAGCGACCTTCCCATGGGGCACACAAATGATGATCGCTCAACGACATTGAGTCGAGGAGAACGCCGACTTGAATATTGAACAGGCAGATTGAGATTGGGGACAGGAAAGGAAAGCGAGAAGAAGGATCCACTGCCGCAAGAAGCCAAAACTACTCACTTCTGTTTTCCCTGTAGGCACATGCACACATGCGGACCAAGCAACAGCCAGCCAATTGCAGCTTGCCAGTTTATTACGCATGGATGCAGGTGAAGGAGAATCTGCTGAGATTTTGCTAAGCTTTGCATGTATTGGCTGCTCGGTTCGGGTTGATCTGGAGGAATATATCTTGACGGCGCATCACGACATTTGGTGGCTCAGTGTGCCTTTGATTTACATTGCGGGTGAACTTACGATTGCCTTGGCTTGGTACTTGTCTCCGCCGGTGTTTCACGGATTCAGGAAGCATTGCGTTGGAAGAGCTTGGTGCTGCTGTTCGCCTGGCTTTCCTGTTACTTTGTGATTTTCCATCAGCAATGCCCTGGATCCATCACAGCAGGGGTCGGACTCGCACGCCGATCATGAACAGGCAAGCCGTGCGGCAAGCCTTGCCGGCTAGACCTGTCTTCCCGTCGCGAGCTGGCGCCACGCAGGTTGGACGCAGTGGTTGGGCCATCTCCGGTTAGGCCGAGCCGGGCTGAGCGAACGGAGACCCCCTTGCCAGGAGGTTTCCCCCTGCCTTGGCCTTTTAGGTCAGCAAGATGTTATGCGGCTTACCCCTCCGAAATTTTGCTTCGCCACCTGTAAACGGGGGAAGGGCTTTGGTTTCTCCAAGCATTCTGCACCGGCTGCAAGAGTGCTAGGGGGAGGGAGGGAGGCTGCCACTCCCAGGCGTCACGTTTCGACCCAATATGTGGCCAACTTCCTCATCCGGCAAACAGACACGATGGCTCAGGGCCCGCCGGACTATGTATGGGAACTACTCCTGAAGGACATCCAAAACAATTTTGGGACACGATTCATCGACTTCGTGAAGGAGTACTACCATGAGCGCAAGTCCATCCGAACTTCTACCACGCTCCCAAACATGTGCGAGAGCCAGGAGCAAGGCCTTGTTGGTTTCAGGCTTCTGGAACCCTACCATCCGGGGACTGGAAGGGGACTGGAAAGGCAGTATCATACATGGTCTACATCAAGAAGATTATAGCATGTGTTGCTACATCAATGATCAGCCAAACGATTACGGTGTTGACATCTTCCCTACAGCTTGCCGCAACAGACATATTGACTTTGACAAATCCGTTCACAATGCAGAATCAATCTGTCAGTTTCTCTGCATCGACAACGTCAAGGCCAAGCCGATTCCTTTCAGCAGCCCTCCGACATGAAGGTAAGGGACGACATGAGAATAAGAGACGCCGAGTTGGGCGAGATGGGTCAAGCACAAGGTTACAAGTTCAATGACGACTATGGAAGAATTCAACCGTGAATTTAAGGAAGTGTAGCTCGACAAGGACATGGACAGAGAGGAAGCCAAGTCCTCCAAGAAAGAATTCCGTACTCCGACTATTTCCGGGAAAAGGCATTGATGAGTTCAGGGCAAGCCAGACGAACTCAGGTTATCCAATTCA